TATGCTATTCGTACATCATTATGTACTTAATGGTGTACAAATAGATGATATGTAAGAGGGAGAAATATTATAATAATTGAATTTCTCTTTTTTTTTTCCCCCCCTCTTTCGTGTCGTTTATATGTACATCATTATGTAAAAATAGCATTACTCTGTATTGATTTTATTATACATCAATTTACATTTTGTTATATTTTGATAAGTGCATGATTTTTTTTTTCTTTTCTCCTTCTTCCACATCATCAATGTACAAAATAGTTCCTTAACAAAAAGTTTGACACGTAAATACAGTGGTCGTTAGAAAAAACTAGCCAATCAATTACCTAGTGTTAATTATTTAATGTCTTATTTTTCTTTAATAGCTGCTGCTAACCAAAATTGAACAACGTGGCCCCATCCAATTGCATTATCGGATCATGATCTACATTTGGTCCATACACGTCTCTTCAGCAACTGCTCGATTGGGCCAACCGTCCCTGGTACAACCTATGATGATTATCATCATAATAATAAATCATCATAACAACCCATTATTTCTACCCTCCCTCTTTCATATAAATTGAACTGCTCAATTTTATTATTTCACATAAACGTCACATTATCGATAATTTATCTTTATGTTTATAGATAACATTATATTTTGTTTGGTCTTTATTTTTTTTAAAAAAAAATGAGGTTCAAAAATGCATAAATCTTAGTGAATTTCGTGGATTTAAATAAATTTTCATAAATTTTATAAGAATTTCATCCAATATGGTGAAATTTCAAAAGATTTGATTATATGTATTTTTTAGTTGGAAATCTGTCCAAAATTTTTAAAATATCTCTCTATTAATTAAATTTTTATAAATTCATTTTAAAGCATATAATTGATTTTCTTTAAAATCTCGAATGGGAACTGAGAAACACGAAAATGTTGAGACACGCAATAGGCACGAATGTCGGGACAAATTTCGACACCTGTGATGACACATGTAAAAGAAGATACTATTAGGACAAAAAGACAGGTTAATTTATTATGAATAAGAAGCACCCACTTGTCAGTCTATAATCTTCCTTGTATTGGATTATCCTTAAATCTTGCCTCCAATGATTATTCAATAGACGACTTTCGTGGTTCAGAACCAACCTCCAAAAACAATTTTATTTGTTCCTTTTTTATTGGCGTTGATTTTCAATTGCTTGCAATACTCTCTTCTTGATACTTTAATTCGAGATGTTGCTTGACACTTATCTTTTCAATTGATCTTTATGCATCTACACGATATCAAACCTAAGAATCAGGGATGAAAAAATTACCCGCCTAATCGATTCAAAAAGTGAAATATACTCGACCCTGATCAATTTGAAGGGATGTTGTTCGACTTGAGGTTGATATAGACCAGCCCAAAAACCTCGGTTAAGGAGGCGAATTAAAAAAAAAAAGGATTTTCAAGGAAAAGATTCAGCCCCTGTTTGACACCCATTTTGGAGAAAAAATAAATACTGCAATAGTGATTGATAGAAGAATGTGTGGTTAAAAAGTAAGGAGAATTTTTAGGTTTATGTGTAATATTATTTTATTGATAGAATGTGTGGTTGAAATGAAGAAAGAGAAAAAAAATGAGAATGAGAATGAGAAAAAAATAGGTGTCANTAATGAGAATTTTTTGGTTTATATGTAGTATTATTTTATTGATAGAATGTATGGTTGAAATGAAGAAAGAGAAAAAGAAAATAGAATGAAAATGAGAAAAAATGGGTGTCAAACAGGGGGCTCAAACCTATTTGACCTCGACAAACTTAACTGACCCAAAATCGACGATGGTCATTTTATTCATTTTATCAGTTTGGTTTCAGGTTGGGGTATTTTTCGATTCAAACTATCGATTCAATTATCGAATCTGACCTGACCTATCCATGCCCATCCCTTTGAGGATTATTTGTACTATGCTTGTCACGCCATGTCTAATTATCTTACTCCGACTCTTACAATCCAAAGATGAAATTCCCTTGAGACTTGAGAGGGGTTTAGCCCATGTTTGAGCTTCATTATATTGTAATTTTTTTGGAAAATATATAGTAATTTTTTTGAAGAATGCGTGGTTAAAAATGAATTAAATTTTTGGATTTATATGTAATACTATTTTATTGAAAAATATATGATTGAAAAGAAGAGAGAAAATACGTTATTGAATTAATGGAGTCCAAACACGGGCTTAATATATGATAAAGCCACGTGTACCTCACATTTCAACATGGGTGATGCTACATGTACCCACAAACTTTTACACAATCTTTTACATCCCC